GATGTGATAAGGTCCATAGTGTAAACTACGAATCAAGTGAAAGAAGTCTATAAGAAAATCAAGGAAAAGTATATACGATTTGGATTCATAAAAATAAGAATTGGCTGCTTTCAGAAACAAAGTAAGAAATAAATGTGAAATAATATTCAATTTACCCAAAAGCATATCACCTTTAATTTTCATTTAACAAATGGCAAATATCTCCCATTAATTTATCACAAAACTGCCGGCCCATTATAAATAATTACAGCTACAAAGCCACAATTGAACTTTTAAAAAAAAATAAGGTGAGATTAATTCCACACAATTGCAATGGAGAGAAAATTTAAACCAATTTTAACTCTGCAGGATGTGTTTTATGAATCTCATATGGTCACCAGACAAACGCACTGCCAAATATCTTCTTAAACCTAGTTCTATAAACAATCGGTCAAGAAACATGTTTCATTTTCACTGCAGATATGCTGTGCACTATGCTCATTAACAAGCATCTCTAATTAAATGATTTGCAACTGGAAGAAAATTGTACCAGGCACATACAGCAAAGAAAGTATCTAAGGTAAGTTAGGTAAGTTAGGACAGTTAGACTTTCTCCAGTTAATTATCCAATGATTGCAAACAAAGGGCCAGGACTTTTAAAAAAGAAAGCAGATTGTATTGTGCTACACTAAGTGTCATGGCCAAGACTCAAGACTCTGAGGAAGAGGATGATCCTCCAGCTCAATGTGCAAATGGGAGGAATCATCTCAGATTGATAAAAAAAATACACTGCCAAGACAGCTGGGACAAATAGAGGAAGAGGCACAGCTCCCAAGCAGAACAAAGGTGTTCAGTGAGGTTTCTTGCCAAGTGAAAGCAAAAACTCTTTTAATAAGGCAGCTGGGTCAGCCAATTTAAGAAAAAAAAACTCTGACCTGTTCTCTGTTGGAAACAACTGTCTGATCACCAGTTCCGAAATGGTGCACCTACAATTCTACTTCAAATACCTGAAAACCAGACCTTTGACTGACTGATAACCCTATTTGGCTCTTGCACTGGTTTTTGACTTCTCTCCTGTGCATCCTTTCACAAGCAAACCCTTGCAGGTGAATATGTTTCAAGAGACTTTGTTTAATTTACTGGTCTTGTCTTAGCTGGAGTTATCTGCAAAGGCCTGGAGTTAAATTGCTTCCTCCCCAGAAACAGTGTATATGTGCACACATGTGCCAAAACCTGATCAGGACAATAATGAAAATCCTATTAGTCACATTTTCCAATTCACTGCTTATTTATTCCATTTTTGCAGATGTTTCTTTCTCCATCTACAGATTGAACATCAGGTATCACATTTCTATACAGCCAGCAGAGTGAAGGCAGAAAGAGCTGCCCTCATTCTGAAACGGCTTTATATCAATTTCATTTACATGATGCAAGCAGGATGTCAAACCAGAAGAAAGGAAGTGTTTTCTGTTTGATTTCTTCCACGGCAAATTTCTTCACCTTTTTTCATGAGACCCATGAAACAATTATGGGAATGAAAATGAGCACATCATGGAGAGAAATGTGTTAGTAGATTCAGGACATGATTTGACTTAGCACTCTAATTTATATGAAGCACTGTATTATAGCCTATATTCTTGAAACTAATTTTGGTATATACATGTACATATCTTGGCTTGTAGCCTCCCCCTTCTCACTGTGGTCCATTGCACCACAGTACCATTGCGTATGTATATTCAGAGTTTCTCTGGAATTGCTTATAGTAAGGTATATGAACTGTTACAGGAAAGGGAATTTTCTGGAACTAAAAGGATGCTCAACCAGCAATGCAACAACAATGATTAGCATGTTTTGTTGTTGTTCATTCGTTCAGTCGTCTCCGACTCTTCGTGACCTCATGGACCAGCCCACGCCAGAGCTCCCTGTCGGCCGTTACCACCCCCAGCTCCCTCAAGGTCAGTCCAGTCACTTCAAGGATGCCATCCATCCATCTTGCCCTTGGTCGGCCCCTCTTCCTTTTGCCTTCCACTTTCCCCAGCATAATTGTCTTCTCTAGGCTTTCCTGTCTCCTCATGATGTGGCCAAAGTACTTCAACTTTGTCTCTAGTATCTTTCCCTCCAGTGAGCAGTCGGGCTTTATTTCCTGGAGGATGGACTGGTTGGATCTTCTCGCAGTCCAAGGCACTCTTAGCATGTTTACACAACATGAAATATGGTTTCAAGTTCTTGACTGAAAAACAAAGCAATTCTTTAAACTATATGAAAAGTTTAGATTATGTTATTTTATTTTATTTTTGCAATAATGAAACCTAAGAGTAGACCTAAAAATAATGGGGCCATAATACAGAATTCATGCTTGGATGATAGCTAGGGATATGAATAATAACTACAAATATTGTCACCATCAATGAAAATATTGCAATACTTAACCAAACTTGTTGAGACACTAGACCAAAAACTCACAAAAGAGTGAAAAGACAGTCTTATATTTTCCTTTCACTTTCATTGTACAAACATTTTACATAACATACAAAAAACATGTTTTTTATAAAATCCATTTTGGACAAAATGTAATGTTTCTGCATTAAAAAAAACTTATATAAAGCAATGCTTGGGAAATAATTTTTCTCTTAAAAAGTTACAAAATGGAATAAGAACAAAAAAAAATCCCCACATTATTTATGCAGAAATAATGGAAACAGCTCAAATGCTCGTATTTTCAGTATTGACACAGCCACATCATATGGTACATATGTAGAAAATGCCCATATTAAGAAAAACAAATAGAAGAAGTACATTGCAAAACATGAATGTATTCCTATATGAAAAGAAATTAAAAAACGATGTCTTAAAACTCAACAAAATGTGATAAAATGTGAGTATGATTCAGAGACACATAAGAAAATCAAGGGACTTTCACACCTCTAACTACCCAAAAATTCTGGAAAATTCTTGTCAGAAACAAACTAAATGAAATTATCTTCAACTTTTCTGCACATACAGGCTGTAGTCAGGTGGTAATGGTAAGACAGGGAAATGAAAACAAAGGGGCTTTGCTAATTTTGCATTCCTACTTCAGCAGCCCACGTTTAAGTGGATTGTGCTGGGTCATAATACATCAAAAGAGATCTGAGCACACCATTTCTAGTTCTTGTAATCCTGCTTACCCATTCATTTCCAGTGTTGCCATATTTCTGCAGAAGTCTAAAATTTTAGACTGAGTAGACCTGATTCACCTTCACCAAAAAAAATGGTGCCTTAGAAGCTCTTCTGCATTGCCTTCTCTAATTTTAAAGCTTTTATCATGTTGACCATAAAAAGTCTACCACAAAAGGCCAGTACAGTAATATATGTGGACTTGTTATTGGCCTCTAATTCATCCTCTAAATCAGGGGTCCTCAAACTTTTTAAACAAAGGGCCAGGTCACAGTCCCTCAAACTGTTGGAGGGCTGGATTATAATTTGAAAACAGCATGAATGAATTCCTATGCACACTGCACATATCTTATTTGTAGTGCAAAAAACACTTTAAAACAATACAATAATTAAAATGAAGCACAATTTTAACAACTATAAACTTATTAGTATTTCAATGGGAAGTGTGGGCCTGCTTTTGACTGATGAGATAGGATTGTTGTTGTTGTGTGCTTTCAAGTCATTTCAGACTTAGGTTGACCCTAAGCGAGGGCTGGGTAAATGACCTTGGAGGGCAGTCTCTGGTCCTCGGGCCTTAGTTTGAGGACACCTGCTCTAAATAGAAGGTATTTATGAGATGTAGCCTTCTAGAGAAATAAGGATCATCTCCCAATCTGCCTTTAACTGATATACATTACATTTTCCCCCTTTTGAAATACAAAAAACTCTAACCTCCCCATCACAAGAGTATTATAACACCTAGAGTTGTTGACCATGAAAGGAGCCTTGTTCTACTGTTTGCCATCAATCAGGACTTATATTTATCAGAGTTCCTTATCAGGAACCCCAGGTTGGACAGATGGGGTATAATAAGATCTCTTTGTTGACAGTCATATAAATATATTTTCCACCTTTAAAGTTTCTGTGACGAATGGCAGAAGTAGTATCTTTTGCTGCAAAACTCAACTGTCAGAGAAAGGACAGGCTGATGACAGAGGTTATGCAGACTTTCATCAGAATGTGACATGACTATCAAAAGATTGATCAGATGGCTGTCACAGAACAATTCCATATGTAACTATCTTTCTCTCAATAACCACATTATAACACTATTACACTTTCCTCTCAAAATCCTTCCAACCACCTCTACAACATACTGAAATTCCAGACTATTGATATATATATGACCTTCTGTGGGGAGTACAACTTGGAGGAGAAATACTTTGTGGAAAAAGAAAACAAAATAATTTTAGGTTTACCCAATTTTTAAAGTAAATATTAGGTGCATCTAATATTTAAAAGGTCATTTATGACTCTTCCAAAGTTCTCAAACTTATGCCTAAAGTGGACTGTATTCATTAAATTTTAGAGGATCCCAAACATATGATGTATTTGCGATGTGAATGAACAGCTGCACATTTCTATTTTCCCCATTGCAGCAATCTATACATCAGTGGTTGTTTTACACATGCAAGGCCCTGAAAAAAAATAATTCCACAAGTCCACTTTGTATAATTACTCAGCAAGGAGAGATAGCAGAAAACTGATGACAGGCATGATGCTCTTATGATTTTTATGTAAAGGAATTAAATATTCTCATTCTATGTCTATTTAATATGGTTTTTCAAGGGAAATGTCCTCTCACTGGAAAACATGATCCATAGTAGTTTAACATGGCTCAAACAAAAATTGCACCTGGACATAGTCCTAGAATATAGGATCCAGGTAAATTAGAATGAAAGGTATGTACAACTCACATACTTCACTAGAAAGTTTTCTCAGTTACTACCTTCTTCAAATCAAGAGCCAAGGCAAAAACATCACTCACATGTAAAAATAGGGGGGGAAACAGATGTAAAGGCTTCCATGTTACTATCTGATTTTACCTTATTTTTCATGAACTTCGAGTGACTCTTGTAAACTTCTATTTGTTTGATTTCCTCTTCTCTGTCTTCTGTGTTCAGAACTCCATTTGTCTTCAACATCTGTATTTCATCTTCAAGGTCTCTGATATTACGTTCCAGTGAAGCTATTTTTGTGTCCTGTTGTTTTTAGAAAAAGTGTTGGTATGCAATTAATATACAAATCGTTGAAGTGAAATGCACAGACAAAAACAGCTATAGAAGAACAGCAAAGCAAAAAAGGACTGTTGGTATAAGGAGCTATAGCTGTTTCTGGTCTAATTTGCAAAGCAGGTCATGTATACACTCGTGCATAAGTCAGACTCATGTATTTATCAAGTACAGGTTTGGGGATCAAAATTATGGATTTTGATGTGACCCATGGATAAGTCAAGGTCATTCCACAAAGGGAAAAGGGCCAATGCTACTCCAAGGGACCAGTCACTCCTGGCTGCTGATGCATTTTTCCAAAGCGGCATTGTGGTGGAGAAAATAGAGAAAGACAGTGCTTCTTTTGGGTTCTTCTGGGACAAGCTACATTTTTTTATTTTATCACTCTACTCAAGAGAAGGAGATGGTTCCTTTTCTGATAAACATTAAGGTACAGTACTTACATTATGGATAAATTGACTCAAACTATAGGGGCAGGTGACAATTTATTTGAGTAAAATTATACATGAGTATATACAATATTATCAATAAGGCTAGGCATAAGTTTCTTTTGCCTTGCTATTATATCTACTAGCCCTTCTGAAATACCTTTTCTCCACTACAGTAATTTCTGGAAAATCTATTATGAAAAACTATCATGTATTTAATTACAGTATTCTAAGCAAAGCCAAATTAACCATTAGATAATACCACCATAATACCACCATGGAGCATGCCATTCAAATGGAAGGGAGCACTGCATTGCATTTAGTGGTGTCACAAGGGTAGGTGTCACCCAATGCAGTAACTCATGGTGTCACTCCCACAGGAGGGCATGCTATTTAGAATCCTAGCTACTATAGGCAAAATCAGGTAGCAGTGACTGAGAGCAGATGGAAGAAGTGCCTCCCTGGGATAGTAAGAGAAATAACGAAAGGTCTCAAAGGGCTCAGACCTAAAAATAATACATTTTTGCTTAAACATTGCACAAATTCTTGTGTCACCCCCCTCTGTTGATGCCACATGGTGTGATCTTCAAGCCCCCCCCCCACACACACACACCACTACTAAAGCCATTCAATGCATATTTTTTTATTTCACTTATTGTATTTAGAAATCTTATTGTATTCAAGATTTATTATGGAAATCTTCTTGAAAATATTTTATTCTATTTATTCAGTTGAAAATATTTGAGCTGTAACATCTGTGAACAAGACAAATCTCTCTTTACTAGATAAAGGACATTATTAGTGGATCCATATCTAACTAGAGGACTAGTAATGGGGCGAAATGATAACTGCAAGAGATATGAAAAGTTGCAAAATGGTCATAAGTCGTGCGAAGGAAAAAAAGAAAAAAACACATTCTATTGGTGACAATATGTTTGGGAAACCCTCTTTACAGGCCATGAAAGAGCCGTGTTAATTCCAATATTTTAAATATATATATTTCATTGACCTTTTGAAATCCCACTTTTGAATACCTGTAGGTACTGCTGAAGGTCGTTCAGATTATTCTACTCCATATACTTCAGCTATTGTTATTTTTGTATAAAGACAGTATATGAATAACAAACACTAAAACCCCTACGTGCAATTTATTTATTTATTCATTCTTATACTCTATTTATATCCCACCTTGTTCTACCCCGAAGGGGACTCAAGGTGGCTTTACATATGGCAACTATGTGATGCCTTTAGACAGTTGTTGTTGTTGTTCATTCGTTCAGTCATCTCCGACTCTTCGTGACCTCATGGACCAGCCCACGCCAGAGCTCCCTGTCGGCCGTTACCACCCCCAGCTCCCTCAAGGTCAGTCCAGTCACTTCAAGGATGCCATCCATCCATCTTGCCCTTGGTCGGCCCCTCTTCCTTTTGCCTTCCACTTTCCCCAGCATAATTGTCTTCTCTAGGCTTTCCTGTCTCCTCATGATGTGGCCAAAGTACTTCAACTTTGTCTCTAGTATCTTTCCCTCCAATGAGCAGTCGGGCTTTATTTCCTGGCGGATGGACTGGTTGGATCTTCTCGCAGTCCAAGGCACTCTCAGCACTTTCCTCCAACACCACAGTTCAAAAGCATCGATCTTCCTTCGCTCAGCCTTCCCTAAGGTCCAGCTCTCACATCCGTAGGTGACTACAGGGAATACCATGGCTTTGACTAGGCGGATCTTTGTTGTCAGTCTGATGTCTCTACTCTTCACTATTTTATCGAGACTGGACATTGCTCTCCTCCCAAGAAGTAAGCGTCTTCTGATTTCCTGGCTACAGTCTGCATCTGCAGTAATCTTTGCACCTAGAAATACAAAGTCTGTCACTGCCTCCATGTTTTCTCCCTCCATTTATCAGTTGTCAATCATTCTTGTTGCAATAATCTTAGGTTTTTTGATGTTTAGCTGCAACCCAGCTTTTGCGCTTTCTTCTTTCACCTTGATTAGAAGGCTCCTCAGCTCCTCCTCGCTTTCGGCCATCAGAGTGGTGTCATCTGCATATCTGAGGTTGTTAATGTTTCTTCCAGCAATTTTCACCCCAGCCTTACATTCATCAAGCCCCGCACATCGCATGATGTGTTCTGCATACAAGTTAAAAAGGTTGGGTGAGAGGATGCAGCCTTGCCGTACGCCTTTCCCAATCTTGAACCAGTCTGTTGTTCCGTGGTCAGTTCTGACTGTTGCTACTTGGTCCTTGTACAGATTCCTCCGGAGAGAGACAAGGTGGCTTGGGATGCCCATCCCACAAGAACTTGCCACAATTTATTATGATCCACACAGTCAAAGGCTTTAGAATAGTCAATGAAGCAGAAATAGATGTTTTTCTGAAACTCCCTGCCTTTCTCCATTATCCAGCGGATATTGGCAATCTGGTCTCTCGTCTTTCTAAACCCAGCTTGAACATCTGGCAACTCTCGCTCCATGTATTGCTGGAGTCTTCCTTGCAGGATCTTGAGCATTACCTTACTGGCATGAGAAATAAGGGCCACTGTACGGAAGTTTGAGCAGTCTTTCGCATTTCCCTTTTTTGGTAGGGGGATATAAGTTGATTTTTTCCAGTCTGATGGCCATTCTTGTGTTTTCCATATTTGCTGGCAAATGGCATGCATCACCTTGACAGCATAATCTTTTAAGATTTTAAACAGTTCAGCTGGGATCCCGTCGTCTCCTGCTGCCTTGTTGTTAGCAATGCTTCTTAAGGCCCATTCAACCTCACTCCTCAGGATGTCTGGTTCTAATTCATTCACCACACCGTCAAAACTATCTTCAATATTATTATCCTTCCTATACAGATCTTTTGTATAGTCTCACCACCTTCTCTTGATCTCTTCAGCTTCTGTTAGGTCCCTGCCATCTTTGTTTCTTATCATACCAATTTTTGCCTGAAATTTACCTCCAATGTTTCTAATTTTCTGGAAGAGGTCTCTTGTCCTTCCTATTCTGTTGTCTTCTTCCACTTCCATGCATTGCTTATTTAAAAATAGTTCCTTATCTCTTCTGGCTAACCTCTGGAATTGCGCATTTAACTGGGCATATCTCCCCTTATCCCTGTTTCCTTTTGCTTTCCTCCTTTCTTGGGCTACTTCCAGTGTCTCAGCAGACAACCATCTTGCCTTCTTGGTTTTCTTTTTCTTTGGGACGTACTTTGTTGCCGCCTCCTGAACAATGTCTCGGACTTCTGTCCATAGTTCTTCTGGGACTCTGTTTACTAAATCTAGTCCTTCAAATCTGTTCTTCACTTCCACTGTATATTCGCTCGGAATGTTAGTGAGATCATATCTAACTGGTCTGTGTATTTTCCCTGATCTCTTTAGTTTTATTCTAAACTAGCTTGGGGACCCGGCGTTGCCCGGGTTATTAGAGAAAATGGGTATTGGTGGTTCTGTATGCCAAGTTTGGTCTTTATTGGTCTTTGGATAACGGCTGCATTATTTTCAGGAAGTGAGTGAAGGAGTGGGTCATGGGGGCTCTGTGTGCCAAATCTGGTGTTTATCAGTCATTGCATGAGGGTCGCAGTGGTTTCAGTAAGTGAGTGAAGGCACTGCAAGTCCCATCATCCAAAGTCCATCCCCTTTCAAACTGCAGCAGGATGTAGAGTGGATCATGGGGGCTCTGTGTGCCAAGTGTGGTCTTGATTGGTCATTAGAAGAGGGTTGCAGCAATCTTTGGAAGGGAGTGGAGGTACTTGAAGTCCCATCATCCATGGTCTGTCCTCCTCCAAACTGCACCAGGATGTAGAGTGGGTCATTGGAGCTCCATGTGCCAAGTTTAGTCTTGAGTAGTCATTGGCGAGGGTCTCAGTGGTCTCAGGAAGTGAGCAAAGGTACTGCAAGTCCCATTATCCATCTCCAAAGTTTTCCAAAGAACACCAGGACGTAAAGTGGGTCATGAGAGGTCTATGTGCCAAGTTTGGTCTTGATCCGTCATTGGATGAGGTTTGCAGAGGTCTCAGAATGTGAGTGAAGGTACTGGAAGTTCCATCATCCATGGTCCACCCTCTCCAAAACTGCAGCAGGATGTAGAGTGGGTCATGGGGGCTCTGTGTGCCAACTTTGGTCTTGATTGGTCATTAGATGAGTTTTGCAGCAGTCTTGGGTAGTGGAAGTACTTGAAGTCCCATCATCCATGGTCTGTCCTCCAAACTGCTCCAGGATGTAGAGTGGGTCATTGAAGCTCCATGTGCCAAGTTTAGTCTTGATGAGTCATTGGCGAGGGTCTCAGTGGTCTCAGGAAGTGAGTGAAGTGACTGCAAGTCCCATCATCCATTGTCAAATTCTTCCAAACCGCACCAGGATGTAGAGTGGGTCATGCTGGGGTCTCTGTGTAAATTGTGGTCCTGATCCATCATTGTTGGCAGTTGTAATGGTCTTAGGAAGGGAGTGCAGGTATTGCAAGTCCCATCGTCCATGGTGCATCCTCCTTCAAACTGCACCTGGATGTAGAGTGCGTCATGGAGACTCAGTGTGCCAAGTTTGGTCTTTATCGGTAATTGGATGAGGGTTGC